TTCTCAAGCAGTTGTCATTAGAATGATGCCTTTTCAATGAAAAGAAAACTTTAGATGCGTTGCATCAGCACAGGAGCAAACTCTTTTTTCATCAGATTATACAAAATATTTCCCCAAAATATTCATCAACACTGATATGATAAAATAAATATGAACAATTTCCTTTCCTGTGTTACATATTAGAGCATGTTTTCGACAAATATGCGATTACCCATACATACTTTACTTGATAAACAATGTCTTTCCACAGTAAATGTGTGCAGTAGCCTATACGGACCGAAACAATGTCAAGCCGCATTCCGCTTGTGATGAACCAACACGATGACACTCTCCCTCTCATTATTATCGTAAACTTTCAAACGAATTATGCCAGGATAAGAATTTATGAATAACCAACTTCTTTATTACAACTAAGAGCGACGTTTCGGTGTAGGTGCTAACACCGTTATCAAGCAAGTGAAATACGCAGTATGGTTGACAAGTATATATACAGGTAGGAGGCAATGTTTGTACAGTAGAGTAGATATCAGATGTAGTTACACTGGAGTGGAGAAGCCTGTTATGTACACACAAAGGTAGTGTCAACGGGCTTGTGTTGACGGGGAATTAGCTCTTGGGGGAATAAAGGACAAAATCGACATCACTGTCCCGGAACGCTTTATGCACAACATGTAAACAATAAACAACAATTGCACAATGAGCGGAATACCTGTTCTGACAACACAAACACAGCGATGAGCGGACCTTCCAGCTCCGGCGTATAAGAGGTGAGCGGAGCTCCAGCTCACCTCAGGGCGTTTCCTACGAGCAGCATATCCTACTCGAGGTCGTCCCTATGCCAGCACTAGGAATACCAAGCCTGACTAACCCCGTAGTAGTGTGAGTGAGTGAGTGAGTAGTTAACGTCACATCGGCAATATTTCAGCCATATCGTGACGAGAAGTTAGACATTAATAATACATATATTTAAACTTTATAAAAACCTGTCATCGAAGGACAGTACGATAACTAGCATATCACAGATTAGATTTAAAACTAGTTGAGGAACATTTAAAAGCAGAAAGAATTAACCACACAATATAAAAATGGGCTAGAGATCGTCAGTAACTCTAAAGGGAGAACACCATACTAGGGAACACCGTAGTAACTGTGTAATGGTAGCACATATATAGTAATGAACAACAATGGACAGACAAAGAGACAACGACGTTGCTTTGGACATTGGACATGTGGGCGTGATTAACCAACACAGTTCATGGGATGATCAATTAGGGCAATAAATGCCATACTATAAAAAGCAGTAGTTAAAGGGAAGTGATATGGTAGTCCAGGCTGACTGACAGTCAAAATACAATGAAATGTTGGTGAGGATTAACAACGGGGATTAGTGTCTTATAAATAATGACAATTAAGTTACGGAGACATATACATGTCATGGCTACAGGGTAATTAGCCTTTGCAATCAAATGTACTTTAGACAATGGGTGTCGTAAATCAGTCGCTATGACAACTTCCCTCCGGTACGTGAAGCTTGGACCCCAAGCTTACATGAGTCCAAATTGATATGTGTGAACTTTTTCGCCAACGAAAACAACCTTGCAAATGTGAACAAAATCAGTTACATGAAATCCTTATGCAACAAATATATCTATGCAATGACAGTATGAAAGTGATCATCTAGCCATTTTTATTTAGTGCCAGTTTGAAAACTAACGAGGTGATCTTTGTAATGTGCAATTTCACTACAATGTAATTAATGCTTTGCACAGATTCAATAAATATATCACTGAAGGTTCTTTGAATTCTTTGAATTCAGTCTAGTTTGGCAGTGCGACTCAGTACCGAATAATGATAATGAGTGATGTCATAAAAAGTACAAATTAAACATCTCAGCAAATATTTCGCATAAAGAAATTTGAAACCAGGAGTCTAGCTTTACCGCGTGACTCAAACGGTACTTGTGGGTACTATTGCCCTTTTAAGTACAATGGGTGCTCTTCCCGTGTCTTTGACGGAGCTTGCCCAGATATTGTGGGTGCGATGCCCAAGAAAAAAAATCCTTAATTCCGACATCAAAACTCTGAAATGCTGAATACTGCTGTGCTGTTAATTACTTTTTTTCGTTTTTTTTTTATAAATTTTTATTCAGTCATATACCGAGAATACATATGGACTCGGAAAGCAATACAGCTTTATGAATACAGGTACTTCTCAAAAGGATGTGGTACAGAGGAGGCCTAAGGCATAATCCACATCATGGTACAGATGAAGGCATAATCCACATCATGGAACAGATGAAGGCATATTTATGTATACAATTAAGAAGATGCAGTATTTATGGTACATCAAATTATGTTGCAAACATCAAGTGAATAAGTTATTTTACAGTTTGAGTAAACAAAGCCCATTTTCTATTAAAGGCAGAGAAGTCGTTATTTCTACGTGCAATATGATATTCAACGTCATAGATACTTCTTATTGTGTTCTTAAAAGCAACAAAGTCAACCTTTTCATTCTTAATACACTGGACAAAGATAAATCCTTTAGCAGCTACAATCAAATGGTTAAATAATACATCAGAGGTACCAAAGAGGATCTCGTTGTCAGTTATAAGGATTTTTCTATGCAAGATATGAGTCAAGTAAATACAGAAATCTGACCAGAAATTCTTAACAACATGACATTCAATATGAACATGAAAAACATTTTCTTTGTGAGTATGACACATAGAACACTCATCGTTATCAATAAGTTTCAATTTTAATAACTCACGTTTAGTAAATATTACTTTATGAATAAATCTAAACTGGAAATCCCTGAGTTTTGTGTCCCTTAACCCATGGCAATATACACTGAATATTTGATTCCATGGAAAAGAACATCCCAGCTGATTTTCCAATTTCAAACAAGATTTAGGGAGAGGGAGGGAATTCCCTATCAGTTTATTATAAAACACTTTTGTTCCTTTCATAGAACGTGTAAGATCATAAATCCAAGGAGATACTGTGAGATTAGAAGAGGAATGTAGATTTTTATCAATATTTTGTCTCCAACTTCTTGGAATATTACAAAACATACGGTTATAGTCGAGAAAAGTTCCTTTAAGATCATAAAGTTGTTGTAAACGTGGGAAAGGGATCCATCCGTTTTCATCATACAAGTCTTTTATCGTAACTATACCTTTTTTAAACCAGTCATTAAAAATTGATACTGGTTCTCTAAAATAATGGTTTAACCATATGTGTTGGGAAGCAATTTCTGCTTTTTCTAAGTCTTCAAAGTCATATGAATGCATAAAGTCACTCCAGGCTATAAGGGTATCTTTCCAGAAAGGATTTACAATTTCCCAATTCTTGTGCAAACTGGCACCTAAAGTGTAGATATGAGCCAGCTGAAAACCAGCAAGGTCATAATTAATGTTTTTTTCGCAATATCTTTTTAAACATGAAATTTTTAAAGATTATATAAATTTGGGTAAATCAGTCATTTCCAATCCACCTTGACTGTAATTCCTTTTCAAATAATCCCTCTTAATCTTATCTCTTTTGCCACTCCAAATAAAGTTAATTACTTAATACTGACATACAATAAACATATGTGTGGGGGTGGCTCACCCAAGAATATCCCTAATCTGAATTCAAAGTCCTAGACAATACATTCAATTTTGTACCAAACTGTGCACATTAATAACTTGTAACACGTGACAAATTTTGTCGTTTAGATTTTTGAAATTACGAGTCGAGCTTTAAGATGACTCGATAACCCTTACAGCTTAGGTTTGTCTGGGCCCTAACTGCAACTATATGTCTGGCATGGCCTGGAGACATTTCAAAGATTCCCTACACAATAACTTCAAGATCTAGCTTGACTAAAGATGTAATTTGGAGTATATTGCACATATACAAAACTGAATATTGTAAAGACACATTTTGGCATTAATATACTGGCAATGATTAAACATACCTGCTTGCACTATTCAACAGTCACACAATATATATCCTTGATTGAATCCATGTAAGTAAACACAAATTAGGTACAGGAAAGGACAGACTAAGAAGTCTGTCATACCCGATAGCTCCACCAAATTAACAACGCGTGTCGATCTGACATTGATTAATGAACAATTTGCATACTCGTATATGCAAGGGGCTGAGGTATGGTTCTCAGTAGGAAGCGACAACTTGGAGACGATGGCTTGCGGTATATACAGTTTTACTTTATACATGTCGATATATACATACAAAAGACACTATGTGCCAGGTCAGCACATAGTGGTAGTGGTTGTTGTCTAGGTGCCCCGGAGCACCCAGCCTAACCCTAGCTAGGCTAAGGGTAAGACTTTCCTTTTCTCCTCTCTGGACCAAGGCTCTGGACCTCACCTGACATTTAGTAAGTAATAAATATAAATGTAAACAGTAAATCATCAGTGACATACTTGCACATCTCGTTCAGGATGGCAGACGGTCGATGTACACAAAAATGGGGATTAACAAAAAGGATTAGCATCCTATAAATAACAGCAATTAAGTGTTTCAAGGCATAAAGATGTCATGGCTACAGGGCAATTAGCCTTTGCAATCAAATGTACTTCAGACAATGGGTGTCGTAAATCAGACGCTATGACAGTAGTAATGACTATCATCGGTGAAGTCAGTGACATAAACAAATAATTGAATCCAGTAATATAAACAACAGGAATATGGCTGATTGGGGTCTTTGATGAGTTGATGGTACACAGGGGGTATGTAATAGCCTTGGTCACGGTTGATTGAAGGTTGGAGTCTTTTGATGTTGATGGCTTCTTGTAGTTTTCTGATTTTGAAATCTTGGAGGTTGGTGGTGAGGGCTTTGACTTTTTTACCAACCTGGTGAAGATACAGGTGGTAAGATACTAAATCCGTACGTCACAAGTGTGTCGTACAAGGTTGACCTTGTTTTATTTGTTTTGATTGGATAACCGTGACCTCTGTCACACCGGGACTACTCTTTTTTCATTCATAAAAAATCGCGAGACGTCATTCATTTTGCAACTTAAAGGCAGAACTGAAGCAATCTCATGTGACCGAGGGATATTAAACTAAACAAGAAAGTCACACGCATCAAATGTGGTTTGCATCCTATATTAGTTATGCATTGAGCTTCCACAGACATTATATGTAATCGAGCTATATCCATTTACAATGTACGACAACCGTTCAATAGATAGGGTCCCAATGAGAAATCAGTTTAACCTATCTGGACAGATATCTAGACTTACTTGGGATGATCCGGTTGTGCCATCAGTGTCCTCTTTGAAGGGTATAATTTCGTGGCATTGTTTTGGGAGTTATTTGTTCACGACTGCACAACCACATCACTCAAAGTGAACATTTCTAACAAATCATTCGAAAACCCCGTAGAAGTGTGCCTGATTTCTGATTATGTGGCCCTAAATATCCCAAAGGTGAACAATAACATTTCCTATCTCTAGCGTACAACGCTGAGATCACGTTGAAATGGTCTGCGAGTGACGAGCGACCGTTTCAACCAATAGCCTACCCCACCGCCCTCGTAGCACTACTTTAAGATCGTCTTGAGCAAGTGGGACCTGTTCGTCCCTTCATGTTACTGTGACCGTCGTATGGCACAAGATCACACAGTGATCTGTGGCGCCAAAGTCTTGCTATCATGCCTGCTGTTTCCCCACACCTGTTTCTGGCATTAGGGTCAACTTCACCAGAACAGAGGACATGCTTCACTGTCTCCACGTTCCCTCCACGACAGGCCAGATGAAGAATGTTGTCACCATCACGACTCGCCAGTGACAGATCAGCTCCTGCAGACACAAGTATCCAAAATGCTTGTTTATGTCCCTTCACAGCCGCGCACATAACTGGTGTCATCCCGTCACGTCTTTTGCAGTTGACGTACATCTGTCCTGAGAGGATATGCCTCAGAATTTCTACATTTCCGCCTAGGCAGGCAGCATGAAGAATGGTGTTACCTTCATCACTTATTGATGACAGATCAACTCCTTTTTTCACAAGGACCATATATATCTCCTTATGTCCCTCCTCTGCTGTGAACATAGCGGGTGTCATTCCGCCATGTCCTCTACTGTTGGCGTCCACCACGTTCTGTGAGAGGACATACTTCACTATGTCCACGTGTCCTCCACAACAGGCCAGATGTAGGATGTTGTTGCGGTGTTCACTTACCAGTGACAGATCAACTCCTTTCTTCACAAGTAATTCCAAGATATCTCTATGTCCTTCAAATGCTGCCCACACAACAGGTGTCCTCCCGTACCGTCCTCTATTGTTAATAGCTTGCATGTCCTGTGAGAGGACATACTGCAATATCTCAGTATGTCCTTCATCGCACGCCAGGTTCAGGATGTTGTCCCCAAAGTTATCGACTAGTGTCATATCAGCCCCTTTACTTACAAGTAACTTTACCATTTCAAGTTGTCCCTTGCAAACTGCCTGCATCACGGGAGTCCTCCCATCACATCCTCTGACATTGATGTCCACGCTTAAATGAGAGAGGACAAGCTTAACTATCTCCGTCTCTGATCCCTTACAGGCCAAACTGAAGATATTGCCATCCAGTGTTAGATCGGCGCCTCGGTTCACAAGAAGGTTAAACATTGCCGTGTGTCCATGCCGTGCTGCCCACGAAACCGGTGTTCTACCTTTTCGTCCTCTACTATTAATGTCTATTGGCTGTGAGAGGACATATTTCATGATCTCATAATGTCCCCCATCACATGCCAGATGAAGGATGTTGTCACCTCTGTTGTCTACTAAGGATACATCTGCCCCTTTACTCACAAGTAACTCCACCATCTCCCTACATCCAGACCCAACTGCCGTCATAAGCGGTGTCTTCCCGCAATATCCCTTACCGTTGACGCAACCAGTGGTATATGTGAGAACAAGTTTCATTATATCAAGATGTCCTCCATCACATGCCCGATGAAGGATATTGTCTCCGACCACATCCACTACTGACAGATCAGCTCCTCTCTCCACAAGAAGCTCCACCACCTGATGATGTCCCTGCCATGCTGCCTTCAATATCGGCGTCTCATTGTTCGAACCTCTACTGTTGATGTCCACTGTGCCCTCTGCCAAGATGCGTCTCACCCAACTCAGGTTTCCATTGGTGCAGGCGTAATGGAGGATGGTGTCTCCTCGGGTCTCCTGGTGTGAATGATCATCTGCTGCTGCAACCGAAATATTTAATCTCCATTTATTATAACCATTTTCATCTTCTTGTCATAAATGTGGATACTAATGCTTTTAGAAATCGTTGTGAAGTTTATCGCATATGCGCACATTTATTATCATTAACTCATTATCTTTCGAAACATTAGTTATTGCCCACACATATTTGTCTTTGCTTTCCTTGATCAAATCAGACCCCAGGTGATCAACCATTCAATACGACCGATAAGATTGGTGTCACATTAAAATTTGACATTTCCAGTGGATCAAAAAGGATCCGATGCTGCGCCAGCACTTTGACAGTTAATGAATTTGCGTCCACACTGATAAATATAATCATTCGAACACGTTTATCTGAACAGTGTTTTAGGGAACCGACCATTAAATATGCTTTGTGAGTCAGATATGGTTGGGTGTAGTTGGCCCTGTTTGAGTCACACTAGTACCATTCAAGTGCATCAAGACATGCACTTTTCTTCTCCGAAGGAGGAGCAAAACAATCTTTGTAAAACATTTTTTGGTCCAGCATTTTCGGTAATCATTAAGTTTGCTGAAAACAATTCCCTACCCCAGAATATCAAACAGTCGGCCCCTGATCATATGTATACACCAGTAACATTATTCTAATATAACACGTATCCGTTTCTGTTGAATCACGTGCCCCGTAGAAGGGATCCCCGTACTGTATCTATCTCCGTGTTTCCATTTGTTCGTGCCATTTGGCTGTGGAGAGAATTGTTAAATTTAGAAAATATCTGCGTCACTGTTTCAAGAATTTCACATCTTTGTACAAGGTTCTTTTGCGAGCAGCTCCAAGGTTGTTGGCATGACAGGGCAGGGGCGCAGGATTTTAAAGTACGACAATGTCATAACCTATTTTATTTAAAAGAAACAGTTTACCTTTCTCCTGTTCAATGTTACTAACTCTTCATGTCTCACAAGATGTTTCAAAACGGAAAATGTTCAGAGAAGTGCAGCTTAAACAAAAAAACAAGTCTTGTTCTTCAAGTTGACGATTTTATTTTCTGCCACTCTGCTCTTAGGCCACAAACTTTACATTAATGTTCATTATTAATTAATCTTGTTCAATAAACTAAATTGAAATGACCATCCCGATATCATAATATGACATGACCATTTGCGTGTTTATATTTTAACTAAGTACGAGTGTTTTGACATTTCCTATGGTTTCTTTATCCATAAATATTATCAGTCAAGTCATTAATTCGCGACCATTAATCGTGATAATCATCACCCGTCTGACGCGAACATTGACTGATTAATTATGTCAGGTGTTTAATTTAGTTACTGATGTAGGAATAATCTTTTAATGCAGATAGCGCAGTAAGAATATCCAATTGCTACAAATGGACAAGTTACAGGAATTATTCCGTTGCTCGGACCCTCTAATTCGTCAAAAGCTTGTCATGTCTGTTCACAATAAAACAAATTGTATTTTTCGATTTTTAACTGAGGGGCAAAGAAATGCCACCAAATAGATATTGATCGTCGGTTTTCAACAAATTTGATAAACAGCACGAAAACAATTGGGAACACATAGCTGGAATGCAACTTACCTATTCCCTGTGAACATGTGCACGTGCTTCACGTGATTTGCGAGAAAAGTGAATTTAATCACTAAAAAATGCAAAATGTGCGCAAAGTTACCCTAATGAAATTCTGGTATAAAACTTGAGTTCTCTCATCACATGAAACTGTTTAAAACAACGAACATGTCTCGACTAAACGCAGAGCAGAGGGAGAGACATCGGTATGTTGCAAATGGGAGCGCCGCAGGATCACGTTGCCAGGATCATCGGCTGCTTCATATGCACCATCGCCAGACTTGTCACACGTCACAGGCAAACTGGCAGTATTGCAGACAGACCGAGGAGTGGAAGACCCAAGGTCACGACCCCACAGGAAGACCGGTATTTACGCGTGCTTCACCTAAAGTCCAGATTCCTAACGTCATCATCCGCAAACAGCCTTGGACATCCAGTCAGCAGAAGGACCGTTTCTAGACCTTGCAGGGCATGACTTTAACGTTTCTACACCCGCGTCACAGACTGAGATAGGCCAGGACTGTATAGCAGTGGCAGGAAAAATTAGCGAATAGTGCTCTTCAGCGACGAGAGTAGGTGCCAGCTCTTCAAGTCTGATGGGCGGGTTCGAATCTACCGACGACGTGGTGAACGGACCAACCAAGTGTTGCGTCCAAGAAGTAGAGCCGTATGGTGGTGGTGGTAGTGTCATGGTCTGGGGTGGCACTGCGGGGACCAGAAGACATATCTGGTCATCAGCAACGGAAATCTCAGTATACGTCACACAGCTAGCGACTTTCTGAACGCCAACAACGTGACCGTATTACAGTGGCCAGCCAGATCACTGGAACTGTCGCCCGTAGAGCACCTCTAGGACCAGCTTGGTCGCATTTTTTGGAAACGACGAGGGATCCCTTGACAACTGCCCTGCAGGAAGAATGGCGTTGGATCCCTTATCAGGATGTCAGGAGACTTGTGTACTCAGTTCGACGTCGTGTTAGGGCCTGCATCATTGCTCGAGGGTTCACATTCAATATTGAGCCATGTGTGTAGCACGGGACTTTAAAAGTGATCGACTTCGATTCTGCGGGTGTGATCGAATACTGGACAGTGGACCCAGCACGATAAACGTGTCTGCAGAACTTTAAGTACATGGTGTTTGATCTTGTCATTTCCAAATACCGTTTTTGAATAATTTTTTTTATAATAAAACAACTGTCAACTAAATTCTGCGTCTGTTTTGTTTTAGAAAATGTCTTTTGCTCGTTATTTTAGCATAATCAGTTATCAATGGATATATAGTAAATTTTGACTTGAAGATATATACCTTTGGTTCATTTACTAATTATTCTCTTTTATGTTACAGATTATCAAGTGGGTGAATCTCAACTGCAACCGTAAGTTTAGTACGTGTCAAGGTGACCTTTTGGCTCGGTGTCCACTGGCCGTCTGCTTGGCGTTTTCATTATGGCCGCCATACAGGATGAACATCTATATTTCTATATGTATTACTTCTGTTGTAAGAGCAGAATAATGATGGTTTTGCAACCTATTTGTGGCAATCCTGATGATCCATACCAATATTACCATAACAACATCTATAATCGTTTGTTTTTTGGCGCATTTTCATGTAAACTATGTACTTAATTATTGTAGTATAAACTAAGATGGTTCAGGACATGTGATCATGACATATTCTTAAAACTTCGAAAACAACATTAAAAAAAAAATTCTTCTGGCACAGCCGCCATGATCCAGTGAAGGTTAGATATTTAATCCTGACTGTCTGATGTAGCATCAACGTAGTAGGAAGTATCATGACCGGGACAGCGTAATATCAGGTCATGACACGTAATGTTATGGAGCTGTTGACAGTAATCGTTCAAAATACTCCACTCCATCTCTTACAAACAAACCATGGGTGTTTTTGCGACGTACGGAGACAGAACCCTATCACTTAGTGGCGGCTGCCGTCATTATCCACCGTTACTAAATTTACTGATGAGAGAGTAGAGTTGAACATCGCCTTGAATAGTATCTCAGTCATATCATAACGTGTCATCTTGATATGAGAGTGATGCAAGTGAGTGAGTGAGTGAGTTTGGTTTAACGCCATTTTTAACAGTATTCCAGTTATATCACGGCGTGTCAGCTTAATGTGGGAGGAAAGCCCAAAGTGATGCAGGCCTCAGGCGTTTTCCACTTCGGTTAAACCCACGAGCATGGGTATGGTGCTGACAAACCTAGAAACATAATCGGGGCGAACCGGGATTCAAACCCACAATCATAGGTTTCTGGCGTGCCCAAGGGACGCAACTCTGCACAGCGAATCGCAAGTGATGCAAGTCTTAATATACCTTCTTGGTTAAACCCAAGAACACGGATATGGTGCTGATAAACCTAGATGAATAATCAAGGTGAACCAGGGTTCGAAAAACGATCAAAGGCTTCCGAACTAAGGTACTCAACCGGCACAGCCTATGTCGACTGTTAGATGACGAGGCCACCCCTCTGATGCAGGATTCCTCTGTGCGAATACTCAAAGGTCTTGCAGGGGCTGTTGACATACCTGCATTGTGACCGATCAATCACTTAACTTGGCCGCTAGTTCGCTCTGATATTGACATCTCACGTTTCTGCAGCTTTTTGGCTTTTTAGTACTTCACCAAATACCACAAATTATAGTTGTGGAATATGAAGCTGCCGATTCGAACGCCAACTCCACTAAACAAGAATGGCTAACGTGCAAGGGTTCTGTTCCACAAATCATACAGTTTCATATTGATTCATTAACTCGTACACTCATGACACAGACGGAAACGTACACTAGACTACGCCTTGGTAAATGTTCAATCTTATGATTTTGGAAATGTATTTGTCGCTTTTTTCATCATATGTTTTACCTTGGAATCTGATTCGGGAGAAAATTGAGACTGGTTGCTCGATGGCGACGATATTGTGAATTAACATAGCCAAACCACATACACTGGTCCCTTCAAGAGCCAGTACAATATATTTCTATGTGCACATGTACTTACCAACATCTACTGATGCGGGATATTGTGCCGTCGTCTTACTAATTCCGTACGCTTGGTGAAACGAGCTTCTCACCTTCTGTACAATTGCTCCCATGTCACAGCCCTTTCACTTTAACCATTGAGCGATATTTCAATAGCGTTCTTTATAAAGAAGGTTATCGCGTCAATCAGATAACACCTACACGTCCATAAATGCGCACTTACCAGACTGATAGCTTGATGATCGTAAAGGTAAGGGATTAAAAATAAAACTACGTTGTCCACGTCATGGGATTTTTTTCTGTGAATATTATCATGACATTAATCAAAGATAGCATTGTAGTATATATACGTATTCGTATTGGATGGCTTTTGTGTAAAGAAAACAATTTCCCTTAATTCAATAACTTATCATATGTGACCTGCGTGCAGTCGTACCCGATAGCATTGATCGTTGTTCATGCTATCAACCAATGTTGGGTCGTGTCTTTATTCTTTTCAAGTCGGCGTATATAGTTTGAAAATAGGCTTAAAACAACATTGAATTGCTCACTCAGAGGGGCGGTGGGGTAGCCTAATGGTTGAAACGTTCACTCGTCACGCGAGACCACGGTTCAATTTCCATGGGAACAATGTGTGAAGCCCATTTCTGGTGTCCCCCGCCGTGATATTTCTAGAATATTGTGAAAAGCGGCGTGAAACAATACTCACTCACAACGTCGACACACATCAGATTTCTGTAAATGTAACGGAAACATACGGCTTTATACTTTTGTGTAAACCTTAAAATGAAAGTATTCACTTGAAACAAAACAGGGACGATAACTAGTCTTCTGGGTTGTATTCCAGCCTCGCGAAGATGATTCCTGACAGTCTGGTCCCATAACTCCTCCAACAGGAATGCGTCCTGCAGTCTCCGTAGCTGTGGCATTGCGATGACGTAGGTGGAACCGTCGAATGAAGCGATCCTGTGCAGTGGTGGTAACTCTTGGTCGGCCGGTTCTTGGACAGTCTGCAGTGGAATTGAACTGTGTGTATCGGTCCCAAAGGCAGCAAATGGTGCTGTGGTTGACGTTGAAGATTTCCCTGTTTGGATACGTCCTATGGCGACGTTCCGATCGGCAAAGCGGAGTTTCGGCATTTTTAACTTGAAAAATGTTGACAATTGAATGACAAATTATTGGCTGATGCTTGCCTTTTTATAGCCACTACCACGAATGCCATAACTTGAACGTACATTTTGTTTTACTGTTTACTGTTACATTTTCGAACAAGTGTGAAAACAATGCCGTTTGAGACATTGCAAATCGACAGTGGCTGCGTTTTAAAGCCTCGTTTGTCGAATATCAGGCTACCAACATTTTCCAATAACATATATCCAATTTATATACCGGATTTTTTGTGTAGTCAGGTTCCACAAAGAACATGATACATGTGCGTTTCTTTTTTTGAAGAGTGTATATTAAGCCTTGGTCACCGTAAATGTATCAGTTGTTTGTTTGTTGTTTAACGCCGCTCTCTTCAATATTTTAGCTATATGACGGCGGTCTGTACATAATCGAGTCTGGACCAGACAATCCAGTAATTAGTCTCATGAGCGTCAAACCAGGTCAGCGAGCCTGACCTGCGATCCCGTTACTCGCCTCTTACGACAAGCATAGGTTGCTAAACGTCTAATTCTAACCCGTATCTTCACGGGTGGGAATGTATCAATAACTTATCCACATCATTCTGGGGTGGGTTTGTAGATAATTCCGTTGTCTTGCCCAAGTCAAAGGGTATGTCAATGGTTTATACCAAATCGTTGAATAGGGCTTCATTCACAATACATTTTTATAAATGGTGTTCTTTCATGGAGCCATCTCAAAATGCAACAAATCATGAGTGGAACAGGTCAAAGGTCGAATGATTGAATAAGATACGCAATTCTGAGTTGACCTCTAGTTTTCAGAGAATGCGCACCAACTGTGCATGTCACGCATATCGAACAATATTTTTTTGTAAACTCCAACATGAGCAAGTAAATAAACAACATTAGTGTTTACCCAGAAACTGTTCATTACGCAATTTGATTTTATTTGTTTGTTTTTAACGCCGCACTCAGCAATATTCCAGCTACATATGTCTGCAAATAATCGAGTCAGGACCAGACCATCCAGTGATTGACATCATGAGCATCGATCCACGCAGTTGGGATACGATGACATGCATCAACTAAGTCAGCGAGCCTGACTACCCGATCCCGTTAATGCCTCTTACGACAACCATTGTTTGCTGAAACCTATTCTACCCTGGCTCGTCACGGACCTTGTATGGCCAGCATGCAACGTCAAAATGAATAGAATGAAACATGTAGTTAACTGAGCCACCACGAATGAACGTTAAACGACAGATTGATGGTTTTGTCAGTGGCAATATTCGATGTTTTACATGGAACACGTGTGATAAACGTGCTTAGCAACTGTTCAGCCGTCGAGGGCGGTTCACTGGACACACTGAACTTCCTGAAATCTGTTGAGAAAAAGAAAATTGTCCCAGCCCTTCTTTCGGATTTTTTTCTGCATGTTTTGAAGCAGCCATCGGAAAATAACTTTGTCTCTGCCGAAATGCCAAACCGTCGGTGTCGGAGAAGAGGAATTCAGTTATGCTGGGACGTTACATGACTGCAAAACCAGATATTTATTATTATTTAAACTATGAGCCTTATTTTTTATATTAAAAGAAAACATCTTGCAGCAGTCAATTTCTTTCTTTCTCTTCAGTCTGAAGCATTTTTTTTCAATAGGAGACTATTGGGGATAAAATCCCAGAATCATTATTAATTTGATATTGAGGATGGAGGCGGGGGTAGCAGCATATCACATTCCACAGAAGCCTACTTGGCTCCTACATTGCTTAAACGCCATTGTTTTGATAACCATACAGTAAAATAATTTCCAGAACTCTATTCTGAAGGTGAGAACTGAGAAAAGGCATGTGAAATGTGCTCATTTGTCAATGATAAGCTGCTAATACTTGCCTACGTTGACGGGCCTAATAAGCAAACATAGCCCTGATCAAAATGAGAATAATTTGTTTTCTATCTCTCCGTTTTCTTTAAACGAAAAGCTACCAAATAACACGTATGTACAATCTATAGAATAACATGACACATTTTGCATAGAATACATATTTCAACGGTAAGTAAATATTTAGTTGTTGATTTCATAAGGTTTCTTACATTTCGCCGTGGCAGAAGACAACATTCAACGGCCTGCGGTTCGAATCCGTCTGGTGTAACATTTGTAATGAAACCGATCTAAAATCAAGGGGGGAAAGAAGACAGGGAGACTATTAAGATCCTGCATTGCCAACTTGTTTTTAATTGATAATTAAGTCAGTTTAGTTCGAGGTCGAAGACAATGACGCTTTGCATGAAATATAATAGAATAGAATATTTAACTTTATCAACAAACTAGATAATATGAATATTTGTAACCTCCTTCAAGTGAAGGTTTACAGAATGAGACAAGGTACCGGTGTAGCAGGCTAGCTATAAGTGTAGGAGAAATCATGTCTCCGAGGGATTTACTAGAGATTGTAAACCCTCACATGAGGGACGTTCCCGAATGTGAGGGTTTACAATCTCTAGTAATCTCGAAGAGACATGGTTCGTCCAACTTTTAAACCGACTCATCGCATAGACAACGTTTTTAATTAAATAACTGTAATAAAAACTCTCAAATGCATAACCTGTATCGGAGATGAAATATCGCCTACAGTCGTGAACTCGGTTCATTGAAACCAGCGACCTCAGCACGTGGGTTTCGCAACGGTGCGAAATTTGCAGTGCGTCTCGCAATGGCACGAAATCTGCACGTGCGTCTCGTAGGCTGTTCGTAGTTTTTGTTCTATCAAGGGTTTACAATGATTGTAAGCCCTCCTATGAGGTGTTACCACAATTTCAAAAACTCCATATCGAGTTACACAAACAGCCAGTAGGTTTATAACTAATTATCTGCCCACAAAACCCGGTCTGTATGTTGATCGAGAAGGGCTCCTGACTGCCACTCAAATCTCACACAGACGCTCGCTGTTTCATTCCAAAAGTCGCATGCTGTATCAGATAAGCAGTAAATAAGACACAACACATCTGAGTCAGGGGGCTGGTATGCGTCTCTGTGTGGCACAACGGCCGGCTGGCTGCATTTACAACCGTGACAAGCACGAAGGAAGATCCACGGCTTGCCGCACGAGGAGGCTGCACGTGGAATTCGAGTTGAAACTGACATCACGTTCTCAATCTGCACGAGGCTAGGTACTAGAAGTGAAACGTGTTACACGTGCGATCCGAGCTCCCGCTCACATCAAGTGCTGCACGAGCTACTGCAAGTGACATAACTTGCTGTCTCAAGGTACAGTTACGATATACGTTAACACCTGTTATGCTAACAGTAACATTGTGGAGGCGGTGAGGTGAAATGGTTTTCACGTCGCGTTCAAGGTTATGGCACTTATATATAGCGACGTGCATGCACGTGTGTTTGTGACTGCTTGTACTAGTTCCGACTAATGGCGATTTTATAGTTTGTTTGTTCGTTTGTTGTTTAAAGCCGCACTCAGCAATATTCCAGCTATATGACGGCGGTCTGTAATGAATCGAGTCTGGGCCAGACCATCCAGTGATTGACATCATGAGCATCGATCCACGCAATTGGGATACGATGACATGCATCAACCAAGTCATTGAGCCTGACCACACGATCCCGTTAGTCGCCTCTTACGACAAGCATGTCTATAAACACACCACCATTCATTTCCTTATGATAATCACCAGTTTTCCTTTTCGCCTTGAAAACTAGCTCACATCCATCATTAAGCCCCACCCACAGGTTCCGGCATGCAAAGCAATGACACGATTACATGATGGTACCATGGGCGCTTGCCGTCCATCTGACGGTAACCATATGAAGTCAGTGGAATGATTCTTATTCACCCAGGATTCATCAAGGTACATGCTCTGGAAGCCCCGACTCCGGTTGTCATGAATGTTGCGGAGATAATGTGACCACAGAGACAGGATGGAACATTTTCTGAAAACTGCTCGGACAAAGCCATCTGTAGTGTATCGACATCCCATCTCGTGGAGGGCAATAATTAATATTGCCCGGGAAACATTCATTGTGTCATTAATTTTCTCCCGAATTCTACTGCAGATCACGGGTAATTCATTAAGGTTGTACACTGTACGCCTAATCACCCCTGTATCAAAGCTGTCTGATATCCTTTTACGTCCCGGTTATGTTTTTGAGACGACCCCTGCCTTCGTTGTTTTCTTTATCATACCGTTGACGTGTTGGTATGAAAGCCCCACAGCTTCGACAGTTCGGTAATACGCCCTATCTAAACTAATGAATGTTTTCCCTCTGACTTTCTGATGTTTAAATAAATTGTCTCCATTTCTTACGACAGACTCCATGTTGTGTACAGTGGCTAAGGACGTGTTATGCAACATGCATCATGGGAGCAGTGGTGAAACAAATGCAGAGTCATGTTGTTATTTTATAGGATGCACATCTAGAATCTTCTCCATATGATTTGTTTTGTGTGTGTGAATTAGATGTTTTACGAAGACTGCATTCTTCTTCTTATTATTGTTCTTTTTATTATTATCATAACGGAATTACATATGCATATTTCTACAGTTCGTTTCAGATTTCCCTCACTGAACTTCGAATAACCTGAACTTGCTGTTTTCGTTCGAATTTTCCTCCTGGAAATTTGTGGATAGGACTCCTTGTAACTGAAATACCTCAAACCACAGGTAGGTAGATGGGTCGTTACTTGATATTTCAAAAGCAACAGTCTTGGGAAAATTCTATCATTTTTAAACGGGCAATTTATTTCCTAGCATTTCCGACAGTACTTTACCACGACATTCAGCTTATATAGAAAACCAACAGCCTTGACAGTGCTATATCAACTGCCATCAACTCGAACAGTTTTGGTTTCGTTAAATATCTCAGAATATATTCATCACACAAAATTATACATTGATACAAATCCTAAAATAGCCTAAAAAGCTAACATTAGCAGAAAAGTACACAAGATTGAATTAATTATAATATTTTTTTCACGCTGAAAAACGCCTAGATATCGACTCATCCGGTATCGCCCCAGATGAAAGCAAAACTAATGATTAGAATGTCGTGTATAAATACTTTAACGATTATGGCCCAGAAGTCCTTTTATGAGTTAAATTCTTTCAAAATATTATTGATTATCGCTAAAAACTTGCTCGGGTGAAATCACATTTGTACTGTCAAGCATACCCGTGAAGATCCGGGTTAGAATTGGTCTTCAGCAACTAAGGTTCGCGGACTTGGTTGATACACGTCATCGTATCCCAAATGCGTAGATCGATGCTCACTGTATCAATCAATCGATTGTCTGGTCCAGACTCGATTATTTACAGACCGCCATCATATAGCTGGAATATTGCTGAGTGCGGTTTTATACAACCAACAAACAGACAATATATATTACGGGGGTTAAAGATTGGGGTCTGGCTGTACCCGGCTATTGCCGTTTTGGAAGTGTAAGTTAAATGGCGAAAACTACCCGTATGTTTCTTACTCCGCCATTTTTATTGTCTCGTCAACAACAAATACTTAACAACAATCACATCCACCCCAGTGATCAACACCTCAACTTTTACATCAGTCAAATCGTCCGTTACCAATGCTTGCCGTGAAAAGCGACTATGCTTGTCGTTAGAGGCGACTATCGGGATCGGGTAGTCAGGCTCGCTGACATGGTTGATGCATGTCATCGATCCCAATTGCGTAGATCGATGCTCATGATATTAATCACTGGATTGTCTGGTACAGATTATATACGGACCGCCGTCATACAGCTGGAATATTGCTGAGCGCGGCGTTAAACATCAAACCAACCAACCAACATCAGTCATATGCTCAACAACAGATACTCACAAACAATCATACACCCCAGTACGCCTGTACCATTAATGTGACAACAATCAAATGTTCAACGACAAATACCCAACAACGACTCCATGCACTCCAGTAATCAACACCACTGCCATAACAAGAATCAAATGTTCAACAACATATACTCACAAGCAATCACATACACTCCAGTACGCCTACACCAATACTATGGCAACAATCATATGTTCAACGACAAATATTCAATTACATTTCAATATGTAACAACTACAACTGTTCAATAACAACAAAATCACATACTCAACAACAATTAAATTCAAAACAACAACAATCAAATGCAAAATACATCTACCACAACAATACCAACTCAAATCAACAAACAACACTGTAATTAAACTTATCATAACAGAACAAGAAGCTCTTCTAAGATCTGCGTCACTTTGGGCTTTCCACCCAGAATGAGCAGACATGCCGTGACATAAATGGATTACCATTAAACGCGGCCTTGAACCCAATTCCCTCACTCACAAACTCACAGATTCAAAATCACACGGTCATATGAAATAACCTGTTTCTCTACCTTTTCCAGACCATACCAAACAGTGACGTCGTCAAAGACAAGAGGATGGATATGGAACAACACATTTCCAGGAGAATTGGCGTCATCGGAACAGGCACCTACGGCAGAGCTCTTGCCAAACGATTGGTCCACTCTGGGTATGACGCCATCATCGGCAGCAGAAAACCAGCGTGCCGGATATTGTCGGAATATGACGAATGCCTTTGTGACGTTCAGCTCACCACAATCACAGAATGTGTGACTCTGTGTGAGGTGGTCTTCGTGGCTCTTCACTCAGAACATTTCGCAGACACACTGTCACCTCTCACAGAAATATTCACCGACAAAATAACCATCGACGTGTCAAACAGAGACAGTCCTTCCAACAAGACATCCAACGCGGAGCTCCTTCAGTCTCTGTTGCCAACAGCAATCGTCGTCAAGGCCTTCAACACCACCTCTGCCTCCGTCATGGACAACTACATCGCCGGCGGAAGAAGAAAGATTTTCATTGCCAGCAATGACGTCATTGCACGAGACAGAGTGAGTAACCTTGCACGTGACATGGGCTTTGGGCCAGTTGACCTCGGCGAGTTGACGTCATCGCGGAGAATGGAGACGTACGTCACGCGTCTGTTCCCTGAATGGAAAATGCCAGTGCTTGTTACCTGTGTCATATTCGGTATTTGGTGTCTGTACACAATATATGATTATTATATTGTGTACACGTACAGTTATGATCAATTATTTTTGACAGTTCTCAACATGCCCATCTGTACGACGGCCATTACACTAATGGCCTTGATCTACATGCCCGGATGTTTAGCTGCCTTCATGCAAATGACGTACGGGACAAAACACAAACCGTTCCCGAAATGGATGGATGCCTGGTTGAAGTCAAGAAAACAGCTTGGACTTCTTTGTTTCATCTTGATATTGGCCCATGTTCTAATGTCAATCATGCTGATTTCACCGGCAAATTACGGCTCGTGGTTTCATTCAACCGCCATCACAATACCAGCGAATCTTACACACGACCTTCACCTTCCTATGAAGACAGTGATGATATGGAAGGGCGAGGCCGCTAGTCTTGCCGGTATCGTGGCGTTCATCCTGCTCTGTCTCCTAGCAACCACCACGCTGCCATCAGTCAGTGATTCTTTGAACTGGCGGGAGTGGCGGTTCATCCAGTCATCACTGGGGTTTACAATGTTGTGTATGTCAGCAGGTCACGTGTTGATCATGGGTATTCCTGGTTGGATGGACGCGGGATTTCCAAAAGTGTTGACATTTTTCAGCTTCCTGAGTTTAATACTTCCGGCCTCTGTTGTTCTTATGAAACTGATACTCTTCCTACCATGTGTTGATAGATATGTGTCCAAAATACGGAAAGGATGGGAACGAAATACGCGAAGACTCCATACCAACACAGGATCGACGGATGAACGACATTGTGAGGATGGCATGTGACGTAAGAAGCACATCGTCACTACTTTCCCCTTTCCGTAATCAGACAGAAGTGAGTGAGTGAGTTGGGTTTAACGCCGCTTTTAACAGTATTCCAGTTATATCACGTCTGGGTCTAACCAATGGTTAGTGTGGTTGTTATTGTGTTAGAGTAGCTACTGGCAATACTGTACGTTATTGGTGCTTTTTTTCTATTCTAGGGTCAGTCTGATGGTGGTGGTGAAATGGGTTTAACGTCGCGTACAAGATTATTGCACGTATATACCGACGTGCATGGACGTGTGTGTTTGTGTGTGTGTCTGCTTGTACTAGTCCGGACTAATGCCGATTTATAGTGCTAGCCCAATGAGACACCATGCCACAGTTTAACATGGATTCCCCACTCAAACACAGTATAACCGACCAGTACCTTTTTAGCCCCTTAATGCCGAGCGCCAGACAGGCAAGCACCATCTTTTGACGTCTTTTGGTATGACGCGACCGGGGATCTAACTCTGGACCTTTCACTCTCCGGGATGACGGTCTTCCACTAGACCACGGAGGCGGTAGGTTCCGTCTGTGAGCTTATGACTGTTGGGAAGTGATTGGAACTGTGATGACAAATTAAGTCCCGATCAAGTTCTTTGCCATAAACATGCATGTGGTTTCGACGTGTCATCATGTGGGGACTCCTGGTTTGAAACTGGCTCAATTAAACCAGTGTTGTAATAGTCGTCTGAAATGGATGTTTGCGGCGTGGGACGCTAATGATGCTTCAATCCCCCGTTTGCCTCTTTCAGATAACATGATTCAAAGGCCGCCGTGATATAGCCTGAATATCAGTAACAGCGGTGACAGAAACTAGACGCGAGTATTAAAGACAAGTAGACTACTATATGTTTTGATGTTTTACTAGGATAATTAGATTTTTATTCAGTAAGTTTCAACCAGATCTATATATGCCACAGTATGTAGACGGGAATAAACCGTCAATTATTGTCTTGATCAGCTGGTTGAAATATAATATTCCATGACAAAAATACTCAAATCAATTCAGTGTTATTGGCTGTTGCTCCCCCCCCCCCCCCCCCCCTGCGAAAGAGAAACAAGCGATTTATCCGACCAATGAGCGCTGAGATCACATCGCACAGACAGCAATGTTTCTCGCTTGAAACAGTGAACAACATAACATTGCGGACGCATGTCACTAGCGGGCTAAAAATAGACACACCTTAGCGCCACGCCGCATCTTTGCCCGTGTTTTCCCGTGTGGTGGAGGAATGGGCCGTTATGTATTGATAACTGATACTGGTAGGGATGAACAGCACACACGAGCAGCTAACAAAAAAAACAAAAAACAAAAAAACCCAACAAAACAGCAGTGTCAGTGGTCAAAACAATTCAAAAACGTAACAAAACATGTTTTCGAATTGTGTTTATCACAAGTATTTTGTGATTGAAGCGGACGTAGAAGTTACCTTTTCACACTGTGTCTGTTGAACACTCAAATGTTGAAATATCATGAAACAACGCCTTTGACTGTCTTATTTTTTACTATTATGTATAACAACGAGATTAAAATCCCTTTGATGGTAGTTTTATCGTGAGAGGATACTTATATATACATCTACTTAATTAGGCAAGCATTGTGTCTTTTTCTGACTGCCAACAGCAAAGTAGGTCAAATGCAAGTTTGTAAAAAAGGTATCTTAACTAGCGTTTATTTGTTGACCATTGCGTACAAAAAGGTATGAAAAACAATTAAAATACCCATTCAACTTGTATCACTACATTACTATTACTATATATGGCACAATTACCATAAAATTAATGGACAGGCGAAAATGGCCACTGTTACGGAATCATTCCAACAAATCCAACAACAAAATGATTTATTGTAGTAAGTGCAATTGCTTTACGACAAATAAAAATAAATATGTATTCCAGGTCCTAAAATACAACTGGACGCTGCTCTCGACCATCACAAACTTGTGACATGTGACTACAGACGGTGAGCTGGTCAACTCGCGACCCGCCACACGGACAGCGGCAGGCTACAGATGTTTGAAGGGCACGTGAAGCTGGTGTTCCTTATAATTCAAACTTAAACATAAACACAGTTAACGATCTGTGTGGAACAGTCCATATTGATAGGTAGAAGGCAGGGGATTAGTGGTCCAGTCATGCATATCCTATGTTGTTATAACAAATGGCCTGTATGTAGATCCACTCCAGGGTGGGTGTAGGGGATGGGTCGCCTGTCTCGTAGTCAGGTGTTGAGGAGGAGAGCTCTGTACGTCGCCGCTCCCAGAGTGTCAGTGTATGGAGCTGTGACGCAAACTGTAAACTTGTTAATGTGACATATCCACAACAGTCTAATACAATGATAGTGAAAGAGGCGGACGTAGAAGTAAATTGTTCATGTGTTGTTTGTTGAGTACGACCATGTAACAAGCTTAGCTAAAGGTGACAAGCTAGACACAATCTTGTCATCCGTCAACTTGTAAGTAATGCCTATCAAACAATTTAGCTAAAGGTGCTATTTTTCTAAATGACTGGTTTCTGATGTGTATCTAGGATCATTTTGCATCCACACATGAGTATTGTTACAATTATTAAAATATAGTACCTGATCAGTTTATGATACATTTCACACATTTCTGGGAAATGTCACAATAAACATCTGAGTAAAAAGTTGCTTCAAAATCATGAATATATTGGAATATTTTTCTTCCTCTCCGTAAAATAACCATTTCAAATACACACATGAATAGGGTCTGAATGAGATTATTGCAGCTGTACCTCAAATAGCTTACATATGACGTCATGGAAGCAATGTAATAAAACTGTACGAAGCGGACATATAATATATCACGTAACATGTTGGTACTTCTGTTCAAGAATGTAATTAATATGAATATTCTGTGTCTTATTATAATGTGTCCTGTTGTGTGTGAAAAAAAACCATTTGAATCCCCCATAAAAGCGTTTTTTTTCAATTCATCTGCGCTAATAATTTCCAGTGTACATTCCTGCAGCGACATACAATCCGAACACAACACTTTCTATAACAGAAATAGTTTAAACATCTTGGCTTGATTGTGTGCATTTACATTGCTTCCACCTCCAACAATGTGGTTTGCAGACATGTAGTGTCATTCTTCTTCTCCATTTCATGTTGTTCTCTCTCGTAGGTTTCACCTTATTATTACTGGGCATTGCAGGGGATTTTGTAACAGTTCGTTTTATCCGTTCGATCGCTCCATCTGTGTTCTACTGTTTATATCGTGTGCAAGAGATAATTTACAGGACTAAGCACATTAATTCATGTATCAATAAGTAATGACTCCTGTCTTCGTATCCCCCGTTTCTTGTATTCTCTAGGCATAGGGTTAGTCTTCTGGTTATAGCGTTCACTTGGTTCGTCACACCGAACAACCTGGCTCAGTTCCCCACATGGCCATGTTCCTTGACCGTGAAACCAAGCCGAAGGTAGATTTCCTGGTGATGTCACTTTCAGTAACGATTCAACCATGTGTGTAGAGATGTGTTCCACGATGTGTGTAGATATGTGTTCCACGATATGTGTAGACATGTGTTCCCACGATGTGTGTAGAGATGTGTTCCCACGATGTGTGTAGACATGTGTTCAACGGTGTGTGTAGACATGTGTGCCACGATGTATGTAGACATGTGTTCCACGATGTGTGTGGACATGTGTTCCACGATATGTGTGGACATGTGTTCCACGGTGTGTGTAGACATATGTTCCACGGTGTGTGTAGACATATGTTCCACAGTGTGTGTAGACATGTGTTCCACGATGTGTGTGGACATGTGTTCCACGATGTGTGTAGACATGTGTTCCACGATGTGTGTAGACATGTGTTCCACGATGTGTGTAGACATGTGTTCCACGATGTGTGTAGACATGTGTTCCACGATGTGTGTAGAGATGTGTTCCCACGATGTGTGTAGAGATGTGTTCCCACGATGTGTGTAGACATGTGTTCCACGATGTGTGTAGACATGTGTTCCACGATGTGTGTAGACATATGTTCCACGATGTGTGTAGACATGTGTTCCACGATATCTGTAGACATGTGTTCCACCATGTGTGTAGACATGTGTTCCACGATGTGTGTAGACATATGTTCCACGGTGTGTGTAGACATGTGTGTACCACGATGTGTGTAGACATGTGTTCCACGATGTGTGTAGACATGTGTTCCACGGTGTGTGTAGACATGTGTTCCACGGTGTGTGTAGACATGTGTTCCACGATGTGTGTAGACATGTGTTCCACGATGTGTGTAGACATATGTTCCACAGTGTGTGTAGACATGTGTTCCACGGTGTGTGTAGACATGTGTTCCACGATGTGTGTAGACATATGTTCCACGATGTGTGTAGACATGTGTTCCACGATGTGTGTAGACATGTGTTCCACAGTGTGTGTAGACATGTGTTCCATGGTGTGTGTAGACATGTGTTCCAGGATGTGTGTAGACATATGTTCCACAGTGTGTGTAGACATGTGTTCCACGATGTGTGTGGACATGTGTTCCACGATGTGTGTAGACATGTGTTCCACGATGTGTGTAGACATGTGTTCCACGATGTGTGTAGACATATGTTCCACGGTGTGTGTAGACATGTGTTCCACGATGTGTGTAGACATGTTCCACGGTGTGTGTGGACATGTGTTCCACGATGTGTGTAGACATATGTTCCACAGTGTGTGTAGACATGTGTTCCACGATGTGTGTAGACATGTGTTCCACGATGTGTGTAGACATGTGTTCCACGATGTGTGTAGACATGTGTTCCACGATGTGTGTAGACATGTGTTCCACGGTGTGTGTAGACATGTGTTCCACGATGTGTGTAGACATGTGTTCCACGATGTGTGTAGACATATGTTCCACAGTGTGTGTAGACATGTGTTCCACGGTGTGCGTAGACATGTGTTCCACGGTGTGTGTAGAGATGTGTTCCACAGTGTGTGTAGACATGTGTTCCACGGTGTGTGTAGACATGTGTTCCACGATGTGTGTAGACATGTGTTCCACGATGTGTGTAGACATATGTTCCACAGTGTGTGTAGACATGTGTTCCACGGTGTGTGTAGACATGTGTTCCACGGTGTGTGTAGAGATGTGTTCCACGATGTGTGTAGACATGTGTTCCACGATGTGTGTAGACATGTGTTCCACGATGTGTGTAGAGATGTGTTCCACGATGTGTGTAGAGATGTGTTCCACGATGTGTGTAGAGATGTGTTCCACGA